CTGAAACAGTGCACAGTAAATGTGACGTGGTGACTCCTGTGCCTGTGAATGGGAGCTCTGGAGGATAGGTCTGGGTGGAGGCAGGCCTTGGGAGTCAGCAACATCTCGATGATGATCGAAGCCTTAGGAGCAGTGGTCACTTAGAGCAGTGGTTCTTCAAGTGTGGTCGTGGACCCCTAGGGGCTCCTGAGACCATTTCAGGAATTCACTTGGTTAGAACTATTTTCTTTTTTTTTTTTTCTTTTTTTATTTTGAGACGGAGTCTTGCTCTGTCGCCCGGCTTGGAGTGCAGTGGCCGGTTCTCAGCTCACTGCAAGCTCCGCCTCCCGGGTTCCTGCCATTCTCCTGCCTCAGCCTCCGGAGTAGCTGAGACTACAGGCGCCCGCCACCTCGCTCAGCTAGTTTTTGTATTTTTTAGTAGAGACGGGGTTTCACCGGGTTAGCCAGGATGGTCTCGATCTCCTGACCTTGTGATCCGCCCGCCTCGGCCTCCCAAAGTGCTGGGATGACAGGCTTGAGCCACCGTGCCCGGCCCGGTCAGAACTGTTTTCATAATCATATTAAGATGTTATTTAACTTTTCATTGTGTTGACATTTCATTGATGCTGCAGAAGCAGTGGAGGATAAAACTCCTGGCTCCTTAGCACAACTCAAGGCTGTGGTACCAAACTAGTCTCAGCAGCCACTGTCACGGCACTCACAGTGCTCTTCACCGCCATGAACCCGCCGTGAAAGAAAACCCTGTTAATCTAATGTCCTTGGTGAAGCAATAAAAATTGACTGTATTAAACCTTATCCTTTGAAAATCTATCTTTGTAGTGTTTTGTGTGATAAAATGGAAGTAGGTATAAAGCACAGTGAAATACAATAGCTGTCTCCAGGAGGAGTTGTGTAATTGAGTTGAAAGAATGGCGGACAGAAAACAACGGCTGTTTAGATTAGATGTGGATATTTGGCAGATACTATCTTGAAAATGAATGAAGTGAATGAGATACTTCAAGGAAAATAACTAACACTATTGTTGCCAGTAATAAAATTTGAGCTTTCAAAGGAACATTTTGGAAAACTTGGTTCTGCTACCATGAGCTTGACATCTTCCCAGTATTGATAGACTTTTCTTATAAGCTAGGTGATGACACTAATGAAATTTTAAAAATATGTAATGAAATGTGTCAGTATTTGGAAGATCTGCTTAATTCAGTGAACCTACATTTTCCTACATTGCCTGTAATCCCAGCACTTTGGGAGGCCGAGGCAGGCGGGTGACTGGAGGTCGGGAGTTCAAAACCAGTCTGGCCAACATGGTGAAACTCCATCTCTACTAAAAATACAAAAAAACTAGCTGGGCATTGTGGCATATGCCTGTAATTCCAGCTACTCGGGAAGCTGAGGCAGGAGAATCACTTGAACTTGGGAGGCAGAAGTTGCAGTGAGCCAAGATGGCGACACTGCACTCCAGCCTGGGGATAGAGCAAGGCTGCATCTCAAAAAATAAAATAAAATATAAAATAAAATAAAATACATTTTTGTTCTTGATTACAGCTCACACCTGTAATCCCAGTGCTTTGGGAGGCCAAGGCAGGAGGATCGCTTGAGGCCAAGAGTTTGAGACCAGCCTGGGCAACATAGTGAGACCCCATCTGTACAAAAAATTTGAAAATTAGCCAGGCATTCTGGTGTGTGCCTGTGGTCCCATCTACTGGGGAGGCTGAGGCAGGAGGATTGATTGAGCCTGGCAGGTTGAGGTTGCAGTGAGCTGTGGTTATACCATGGCACTCCAGCCTGCGTGACAGACTGAGACCCTATTTCTTTCTTTCTTTTGTTTTTTGTATTTTTAGTAAGACGGGTTTCAACCCATGTTCGCCGG